AAGTATATGTGAACTGCTGTATGGAAAGTGAATTTGCTCTGTAAATCTTCACCCAAATCACAATAAAATAAATAATAAATAAATAAATAAATAAATAACAAAAAAGAGATCTCTCTCTTTAAATAAATATACCAACTAACTGATAACTCAGTTTCCCATTCTATAAGGTATGAGATTTTCTATGTAGTAGCAGCTTGGGTAGAAGAAACAAGAAGCTGAAAGATTAGGGTTGGACCAAGAAAATAATATAAGTGACTTTAGGTTTTCTTTTTTTTTTCTTTTCTTTTTTTTTTAATGGTAGTCCAGCCCAGTTTATCTAGACAGGAAAGGAGGTAGAAGCAGGTAGAAGTGTTTCAGTTAAAGAAGAAGAAGAAAAAAAGCCTGGAGTATCTGCTTTTTCTTTTGAAAATTTAAATGAATGAACAGGATAGATCTGGTTAAACCAGGCTTATAGATCAGATTGAGAGTGGTGAAACCCAACACTCTCTATAGCCGCAAGTCACCCTTCAGTCCTGGAATTAAACTCACTCCCATTGGCTTCTGGCCAAATGATAGGTGTATAGGGTGAACATTTATACCAGGTAAGTACACTTCTTAGAACAAGTAACCACGGGAGATCAGGGCAGCATCTGCCCAAGGAGACAGCTCAGAGGGCAGGAATGCATAGGAGAGAAGAACACAGGGAAAAGTAACCACAGGGAGGAAGTGAGAAGAGAGCTGTTACATTATGGGTACTGTAATCAATGTCACAAAATAAAATATGTAGGAACTGTTATATGGAAAATGAATTTGCTTGGACACTTTCATCAAAATCACAATTAAAAAAAAAAAAAAAAGGTATACCTAGCAGAAAAACCCAAAGCTAAATATTAATTTAAAAAAAAAAAAAAACTTTGAATGATCTGAACTAGTTACTATGTTCTGGGATCTGGGAGACATAGTGAAGTTTCTTTACAAAGCAAAACAAACAAAAACTTTTCTTTTTATAAAGTGTGATTTTTAACATAAAATTGCAACATTTAATTATACATGATGTTTAAGGTATGTTAATCTTTATACAATGGATTTATTAATAGAAATTTATATGTACATATAATTGCAAATTAAATCATTTTTGAAATATGTTAGAAAAGAGTAAATTCTTTCATATGGTGAAGATGAACTACTAAAAGCATTTAGTATATTGGAATAGCTTAACTTGTCTCTTACATACTCTGCACCAGTATTTGTAAAATATTTGACAGTGTATATATCATCTGTGAATAAAGGGCTTTTACACATTAGTAAAAAATGTTCTTATGATTCTAAAAAATAGAATTCTACAATTTTTATACATGTATATAGAAATGGAAAATGTTATAAATATGTAATTCAGAAAAAAATAAGGAACATTAGACGACAAAAAAGCATGTTAAACAATTTTAACTTTAATGCAAAAAATGCAAATGAGATAACCAATATTGGTGAAGGGAAGGGAAATGCTATATTACCTCACTTCAAAAAATATATATAAATAATATGTGCAATAAATAGTTTTATTTTTAAATTAATCTTTATGAAAATATTGAGCAGTGTATAAAAATTGGAAATTCTCTATCAAAAATTTAAAAAGTAGTGGTTATTCCTGAAATAATTTTTTATTATTTTTAATTCTTTTTGTGTTTGTATTTTTCTACATTTTACAAGGATCATGTATTAATCTTGTAATCAAAATATTTAAATGCTATGAACAATATTTTATCTGTCCTTCCAATGTTAATTCCTCTTTGATTTCTTATTCAGCCAGAAAAGATTTATCTTTCCTTGGAACTTCCACATATTTTACTTCCAGCTGGAATTTAGGAGTAGACTGGGTCATCTCATCCTCACCCCACTGGGGAACATGGTTTACTTTCCTTACTACATAAAGTGTCCCTCTCTGAGTCATGGACAATACATGTTTCACATCCTCCGGAGTGGTGGGTAGAGTGATTTATACAATTATCATTTTTAGCAGGCATTGAATGTCTAAAATTTGCCAGGCATTGAGTAAGTCCTATGTTTTCTGGAAAACCTGAAATTATCCTTGTTTGGTCTATTGGGGGACAAATCAAGCAAAAGGTGAATTATAATATGCTTTTTATAAGTACATAGAGTGGCACTGCAGAATGGGAACAGAGTCCAGACTGAAGGGAACCAAACCCAGTCTGTACAAGAACATGAAGCTGGCCCAGAAGGGAGTAGGGGAGTGATGGTGACTCTGGGATAGGAAGACTTTTCCAGGCAGAGCAATTTCAAAAGTTCATAATCTACCAACACCATTAATTTTTAGGGAATTGAAAGTATTATTGGAATTCTGCATATGAGAAAATAATGTGACATTAGACTTCGAGGTAAACAGGGGCTAGATCAGAAAGGTTTTCATACGCAGTCTTCGTATCTGCTTGTTAAGTAATTAAGTGCATTCTTATCTTTAATACTGCCATATTCAAATTAGTTTGCTCAAGCACATTTAGAAAAATAGTGATTACTTTAACTTCTATGAAAAAATAGATTAGATTGCTGAATAAAATAACAAATCTATTTTTCATACTGAAGTTGGCACTTTGAATACTCTTATTTTTTCAAGATAAGGAGTTTTCAATTTTTTTTTTTCATCTGATTTTTACTTGGAAGAAAACACTGTTTAAGTGCTGTTAGACTATAAGTTATTTTACTTCTCTCTCAGCTGAGAATTATTCAAGAAATTCTCCATGAGGTCTGAATTTGATCCACAATAACTATTCTAATAGCTGGCCTCCTCAGTTTTTTATTTTAAATGTGTTTTGAATTATCTTTTACCTCAAGTAATATTCCAATTATAATGAAAAGCATATATATCTCTTCAAAAATAATGTTATAAATAAGACTTGGTTATATTATATTTTTTTCCCTTCATGTTTTATAAAAAAAAAAAAAAAAACCAACTCACTGCCATTGAGTCAGATCTGACTCATAGCGACCCCTTGTTGGATTTCCCAGGAGGTATCACTATGGAACTAGATTGCCCAATCTTCTTTCCGACAGGATGTATAGAAAAAAGTTAAAATGCCATCATTCAAGAAATTTATACACTTTTTAAATTTGACTTTGTATTTCTGGCATTTAAATATAGTATATTTTGAAGGGACATAATGGTTAATACAACAGAAATTAAGGAAATTCTCTAAAACTGTTTAAGACTATACATAAAAATATATATTTAATTATTAGTTTTGTGCTTGAAAACTGTGTAAAGTATACTGCTTTTGTTTCTTTAGCATATATTCAAATTTATCTCATCTATATACTATTATGGTATATTAGACATGGGTTGAAAAGACTCAATTAACATTAGAATTCATATAATTTATTAGCAAACTATACAATTGAGTAATTAAGTAAAAAAAAAAGCAAAATACTATTTGGATGTTTTTCTTCATGTTTGAATTCTTCATTCTGTGTCATTTTTTCCACGTTTAGTTATTTCCTAATAATAGGATAAAAATTCACTGCCATTGAATCATTTGGAGCTCTGGTGGCGAAGCATCTAAGGGATTTGACTGCTAACCAGAAGGCTGGTGATTCAAACCCACAGCCACTCCTTGGAAGGAAGACTGGGCAATCTACTTTTGTAGAGAAACTGCCTCGGAAACCTGAGGAAGGGTCACTATAAGTTGGAACCGACTTGACTGCGGTGAGTGTTTTTTTTTTTGTTGTTGTTACATCGAATCAATTACAACTCATAGCGATCGTATAGAACAGGGTAGAAATGCCCCACAGAGTTTTCAAGGCTGTAGACTTTATGGAAGCAGACCGTTTCCTGTGGAGTGGCTGGTGGATTCGAACAATCAACCTTTCTGTCACTTAACTACTGATCTACCAGAGGTCCATAATATTAGGATAGTGACCCATTTAGGAGAGGATTAGGGATTTACAAATGAAAAACAACCAGTTTATGAAGGAAGATATTCCACTTGGTGTTCATAAACCATTGACTCTCATTGTAATTTGATAATAAGGAAATTGCTAAAATAATAATAATAATAATAATGAGGTAAGAACTACATCTCCAGAAAACACTAATGCATGTAACTCATATCCTTAGGAGATGTTTAATTACTTTTTTTTTTTTTTTTTAAAGTAAGGAACATCTTTGAAAAAACAGTTATATAAGGACTTGCAGGTTGGGAGAAAGATCTAAACTTGAATCTAGGGACTGGTCCAAAAATCTATCATGGTTCTGGTTTCCTGTTTTTGAGAAGTGCATAATCATGAAGAATGTAGCCATCAAGTGAACTGGAAGCACAGCTCATTGAATAAAAATCTATTAAAACTAACAGCAAGGTTAATGAAGAGCAAACACAATCTCTTCAGAATAATTCATGCTGACATTGAAATGTGTGCTGCCACGATTTCACAAATGTTACTGATATTTGCCCAGCACTGGGAGAGGGGAGGAGCAGAAACTGACTCACTGTTCGGGACGTTGGAGGAGCTGAAGGGCTTGTCAGGGAAACCATCTCCTGGATTGCTAATCGGAGCTTTAGGCGATGCAGAGGGTTGCTGATTCCAATTTCTCTCTGGATCTCAGTGTCTGATAAAGCAGACATGATGGCACCACTCTTCACATTGGCACGGCAAGCTGCCACATACCAAGCAGGCATTCCCAACCAGAGCTGTAGGAGGAGGAAAAAAATACACATATATAGATTATAATAGTTAACATTTTAGTGTCTATTATGTGCTAGACATTATTCTAACTATGTTGCTGTTGTTGTTATGTGCCGTTGAGTCATCTCTGACTCATAGCGACCCCTCCTTGTGTTTCTGAAGCAGTGTCACTATGGAAGTAGATTGCCCAGTCTTCCTTCTGAGGAGAGGCTGATGGGTTTTTACCACCAATCTTCTGGTTAGCAGTCAAGTGCCTAAGGCACTATGCCACCAGCGCTTCCATTCTAACTATATTGCATGTAATGCTATCATTTATTGCTCAGGATCCCATGAGATAGATGCTATTATTATCTCCATTAGAGGAAACAGATGCACAGAGACAATAAATAATTTGTTCAAAAACATCAGTTAGGAAATCATGGGACCACGACTTGAATTCCAGGCATTCTGACTCCAGAGTCTATTTTAACAGCGACTCTGTATTGCGAGGGATAAAAGTGATAGTTGCACAGCATCAAAATCCCCTTGTGTTGAAGGACTAAAAGAAAAGCCACAGGCTGCATTTGGTAAGGAAACCAATCAACTGGTATATGAGTGACTCTCAGCTGATAATTGTCCTTTGGAACAATTTGAAGTGTTGGAAAATTTTGTCATAGAAAGAGATATCTCTACCATCTCAAGCCATGTAGTTTTGATCAAAGCAAGTAGTATAGGTAACACCCATTTCCCACCTATCTACATCATCTAATAATTGTGTGAACCAAATTATTTGATATATGTGAAAATGCTTTTTGGAGAATGAAATTAAGTATAATGGAAGAGACTACAGTGGTAAGAATCTGGAAAAGTCCTTGCCATATAGAAGATGAAAAGAACTTTATATATATATATATATATAAATTAATGAATTAATTATATGTTAAATATTGTTTTGTTTTAAATAAATTCAACAGGTCAATATTCTAAACATTTTTCATTTATTTATCAGCCATTTATTGGCACTTGCTATATATCCGATATCAATTTAGCACTAGCAATGTCATAGGAAACAAATCACACAAAAAACACTGTGCTCTTACGGAAGTCATGTTCTTACTATGCTTATTTTTCCAGCGGTTAAGTAACTTCAGGAGAAAGGAGTATTAGCAGTTAGTCCTCTTTGAACCCAACACATGGAAATTAAATATGCACTGCAGCCTACTTGATATCCACTTGTATACATGTGTCTAAAGAAGTCCTAATTGTCCTTCAAGACACCACTATATCCATTCTGCTATCCAGTCATGAATCTATCCATCCACCCTATAACAATTTCTTGTGCCTCTTATAGCAAGAAATGAATTTAATGTAGAATCCTGGAAGATTTCAATTAATAGAATTGACCTAAGGACTTCTATGATACAATCCATACACAAAAATCTGCTATGTGCAGGTTGTTGTTGTTGTTGTTTGCCGTCGAGTCGGCCCGACTCATAGCGACCACTCCTTGGGTTTCCGAGGCAGTATCACTACGGAAGTAGGGTTGCCCAACCTTCCTTCCGAGAAGTGGCTGGTGGGTGCAGGTAGGTACATCTAATTGATAGCCACATGAGCTTACCTACTGAGGGCGCTTACAAGTGTTACTCAAAATGAATCCAGGACTTCTAAGAAGACTGTCACAATAACTTTAAAAGAGAGTAACTTTGTAGAGAGAATATCAAAATGAATATTCCATTAAAAAGCAGGAATACAGATTTTTCAACTTAGCTGTGAAACTGCCAGCTCACATGCACTGTGCCACATAACCTGAAACACATAAACGTAAAAAGGAATATTCTCCTTCCTTTCCCCTCATCATTATGTATATGTAGGAAGTAAGATATTTGAAAAGGAGTAGTTTAATTCCTGGGTTTTAAATGTCCAAATTACTTGTGTTTATTTTATTTGTTTGTGTGAACAGATTGAGCAAAGGATAAGAATGAATAATATAAGAATATGTTATATAAGAATGAATAAGTAGAGAGAGAGAGAGTGAGAGAAAGAGCGAAAACTATAAAGTGAGTGTGTGTCAACTTGGCTGGGCCTCATTTTGAGTGCTGGGTAGCTGGTTGTTGTTATTCCCCATGATGAGACTGGCAGTCAGCTCCATGGGGAAATTTGCTGCAAGCAGCTGAGTAGCTGATTTAGAGATGTAGTCTGCTTCCAGTATGTAAGGAAAAGCTTTGGGAATGGTCTGCAGCTTTTTGGCATGCTTGGACCCTGCCTGTAGCTGAGTCTTCTTTCAGCAGTCTGCCATGCCTGCCCATCTTGGGACTTTTTCTGGACTTGAACCAGTGGCTTGCTTGCTGTGTTGTTTGATAAGGTTGGGACTGTGCCTTTTTACTTCTCAACCTTGAGTTTGCCAGCCTCAGCAGCCAGCAGCTGCCTGAGTTAAGAAAAATCTAGTCTAGGTTCATTGGGCTGGGAGCAAGAGACAGAACTAAGCCTAAGGTCAAGGGGTTTTTACCTAGCCCCTGAAGCCTGACACTTTGAACTCAGACTTCTAGCCTCCTAAACTATAAGAGAATAAATAAACTGTTTGTTAAAGCTACCCATTTGTGGTATTTTCTGTTAGTAACCAAAACAGGGAGCAAAACACAATGCTAAGAATTCTGAACCAGAAATCAGAAGGCCTGGGTTTTAATTCCTTCCCTATCATCATTGTGTTGTTATTATGTGCTGTTGAGTCAGATCCGACTCATATTGATCCCTCCTGGGGTTTGTGAGGTGGTATCCCTACAGAAATAGATTGCTCAACCTTCTTTTGGAAGAGTGGCTAGTGGGTCTGAACCTCCAACCTTCTGGTTAGCAGTCAAGTGCCTTAGGCACTATGCTACCAGACCTCCTTCCCTATTGTTAGTGTCACGCAACCCCTCTAAACCCCAACCTTACTTTACTCATTTGCAAAGTGAAGGGATTGACTTTATTATTTCTAAAACATTGTGTTAGCCAGCTTCTAAGATATCATCACTTCCTAAGGATCCTGACCTCCTGCTATTCACACCTTTGTATAATCCTCTCCCCTTGAGTGAGGTTGGGGTAATGACTCATTTTGAGTAACATAAATGCAACCGAACCACTGCCGTGGGGTGGTACCCAACTCATCAGGACCCGTCCTTAGGTTTCTGAAGCACTATCACTATGGAAGTAGATTGCCCAACCTACCTTTAGAGGAGGGGTTGGTGAGTTTAAACTGCCAGCCTACTGGTTAGCAGTCAAATGCCTTAGGCACTACACCACCACAGCTCCTCAATTCTGAGTAGAATATGGTAAAAGTGGTGGGAAGTCACTTTCTAGACTTGAGTATAACTTTTCTTGTCCTGTCCCATGCTCTTCTCTCTAAGATCTCCCTCAGAGGAGAGCAAGCTGCCATCTTGTGAGTAGTCCTATGGAGATGGCCACGTGGCATGGAATTGATATTGTGGTTAATAGCTCAGGATGAATTAAATCATGACTACGATCATATGAGTGAGCTTAGAATTGGATCCTGCCCTTGAGATGACTGTAGCCCCTACCAAACATTCAGTGTAGCCTGCTGAGAGAGCCTGAGCAAAGGCCATAAGCTAAGCCTTGCCCAGATACCTGACCAGCAGAAGCCATGAGATAATAACATTAGTTGTTAGAAGACTAAGTTTTGTAATAATTTGTAATGGAACAAGAGATAATTAATATAGATAGCCTTTTGGTTTAATAGTTCTGCAATATTGAAAGGCTACTTATCTCCATAAGGGACAAAACAAATAAAAAGCC